AAAATGCACGAGAGTTCGCCCGTAGAAAACCAGCATGAGGGAAGCTGAGGGCTAACCCCGGCGGTACGTCTGAAAGACGAGGGCCAGGAATTCGAAATGAATTGGTTTTAAGAGGGTAGGTAGTAAACGAGAACTGCACATCACTCTCACACGACCAGTCTTCCACCTGCCCTGGTGCAAATATTCCGGTTCGTCCACACCAAATCGAGGAAGCAGTGAACTCAAGTTTTGCTGGGGCAGTAGGTGGGTCAGTAGTTAGGGCGCGAATTTGCTGGCCGTGGTTCGAACCCGACCTCTGCCTGTCGGCTTCCCCTGTCTAGGCTTGGGCAACCTGGCAGCATCCCAGCCCTCGTGCTTCCTTTTAGTGGCATGGCAGTTGGGCATCGAAAGGGTGCTACAGCGAGTACACGTCCTGTACTGTACCGAGATTTGGACTCCGGACAACTGATATCCAATATGTTACCATTAATCGTGGTGGTACCAGATTTATGAAAAACAAACTACTCATGTGATTAGTCAGTATTTTAAGAGAGAGTAGGTGCCAAAAGTCCCTATGAAAATGGTGTAAAAACGAAACGTTAGCGGAAAATTAGCTCAGACTGCCCGTATTTGTGCGCTTTCAAGGTAAAAGGTGTGCACAGGACTTGTATCCGGATAGACAAAAAGAACAACTGGGACTATCATAATAATAATCATTCAGCTGTAGCACCCTTTCGGTGCCTAGCTGCCATGCCACACGGAGGCACGAGGCCTGGGATACTGCCAGGTCACCCAAGCCTAGACACAGGGGAAGTCGAGCGGCAGGGATCGGGTTCGAACCACGGACCTTCCGTCAGTAAATTCGCGCTCCAACCACTTGGGCCATCTCGCTCCAGGGACTACCATAGGCACATTTCGGTTGTCTACCCTGGCGATCCTCAAATGAGTCCATTGAAACTCCCTAGTGTATCAACGCCCCCCCCCTGTGGGCAGATTGCCTGTCAGCAGCACAACTCATGAGCGGTCCCTTCAGAGAGAGGCTGGAGGGATATGTCCAAACTTTTGGGTTTCATTAATGTCCAGGTCGTAGAAATCATTGGATGGATTGGAAA